AGGTGAGGAGGAAGAAGTGGGAAGGGAATAAAAGACCCTTCTGGAATGATTAAACTCTTTATTCCTTGATAGAGGTTTGAATTATTTGCATGTGCAGTTGTCAAAATCATTGATCCAACTGTACTCCTTAAGCCTGTACATTTCGATGCCTGTATTTATATCTTAATTTCCAAAAGAGAAATGGGGCTCTAGCTCAGCAAAAGAATGTCTGCCTCCTGTACGTGAAGCCCTGGGTTCAATTCCCATCACAAGGAAAATTTCAAGAATTAATTTTTAAGACAATTATTCCATGATTTTGAACAAAGCTTAAAAGTCTGTTTTTGGCTCTTTGCTGCTGCCGTGAAATGTTGCCCTCTGCCATGTGCTGCTCTGCCTTGGAGCCAGCTGAGTATGGACTGAAACCTCCAGTAGCTGTGAGCAAAATAAACCTTTCCTTCCTTCAAAAAAAAAAGTCTGTTTTTTAGAGAAATCAACATAGAGCTGGGATCTGCTGATGGAGAAGGTTTGTAGTCAGGAAAAAAGAGAAAGAGGCAGAAGATCACTGGGCCATCACTTATGGAGGTTCACTAAGAGCCCTGCTAACAGCTGAGCGTAACTTTTCCTATTTCTTCCTTATGAGCAATTTTTTCAGAAATAACAGGAAAGCAACTCTTTAATAAATGAGTCCTCTGCCACCTGTGGGAAACACCTTCGGTATACAGGTCCTTTTATAAACACATGGGACTAGGGCATGTTTCTCTTTCATTTTTCAGATAAAATATAAGAGATCTTTTCTTAAATCTACTATTTCCACTAATAAATGCGAATCTCAGGAAAAGATACCTATTACCATTCTGAATTTCAGCAATGTTCATAAAATATGTACTACGATCTACAGTCATGATTCCTAACACATCTTTTTTTTAAAATAACTTTTTTTTTTAATTTTATTTATTTATTTGGGTGTGTGTGTGTGTGTGTGTGTGGCCAGCTCAGCCCACCAGGGGGTGGAGCTGGCTGGCATGTGGTGCTGGGGGATTGAACCGTGGTCCCTTTGCGTTGCTAAGCTTGTTCTAAGTAGGCGCTTTAGACCACTGAGCCATCTCACCAGCCCATCCTAACACATCTTAATACCATGTTATTTCTATACTATTTGTCTTATACCCTGTAAGTGGGAGACTACAAAGTGTGATAGGTCAAATCAATATTCTACCTCATACGAACTGCTAAAATGAATCTAACACTTCTTCAACAGTTCCACTGGTCTTGGGATTAGAACCTCTTCCAGGCCCTCACATAAACTGCAGGTAGCTTTCAAAGAGTAGAACAAGGGCTGGGGAGATAGCTCAGTGGCTTAAGCACCTGCCTGGCAAATGCCAGGTCCAAAGTTCGATCCCTGGTACAGCAAAAACAAAACAAAACAAAACAAAAAACAGTCAAAAGAGGGACAAGAATAAGAAAGGCCAAGATGGTCCTTACCACATCCAACACAGCGTAGACCAACAGGTCGAGGTAGACGGTGGTGGGTTCGACCCAGTTGCGCACTGGCCTCACCTCCTTGTGGTACCGCTGCAATAACTGCGTGGTGAGGTGACGCAGGGCAGAATCCCTGGTGTAAGGCGAACCCGTGGCTAGAATTCCTGGAAAAGAAAGCTTTCACTGTGAAGATGAAAATGAAAGGGCATCTGTAGGAGATTCTCAGTAGTTCAGAACACAATAGTTCTTGGTGGAATATAGTCCGCACACATTCAGGTAGCTAGTGGGCTCTTGGGCAGATATTTATTTATTTATTTATTTATTTATTTATTTATTTAAATGTATTTAGTACAGGGTCTACAGGGCCTCACTATGCAGATTGGACTCATAGTAATTCTTCTGTTTTCAGCCTCCCAAGTGCTAGAATTACACCACACCCAGTCTCAATCACCATCTCAGCGTGCCCAGCAGGTGGGGCTGGCACAGCACAAAAGGGATCAAACCTCGGCCTCTCCGCTCTGCCTAACCAGGCACTTTAGTCTGATGAGCTATCTGGCTGGCCCTATCGGCAGACATTTATTTAAAGT